AATATAACGATATGTTGAAGAATGGAATTTAAATGAATGCTGTACATTTAATGTCCAAGAAACAAATACTACAAAAGAAGTCATAAATGCTGTTAAGAATGTTGAAAAATGTAGACACAGGGACTGAAATAATGTTAAAATATAGATACAGCTTGCTTATGAACTGTGCAATCTGTTTCACATGTGTGTGAAAACTATATAGGTGCCTAACAGAAGAATGTCATAAGGTGAAGTGTAGCAAACAAACATTGATATAAATTATATTTAGCTGTATTTCCTCCCCCCCTTTTATCTCACAGTTTTAAGTATCTTACTTTTCTTATTTTCTGTACTGTGGTAAATGTTCTTACCTCAAAAGGAAATAGCTCATGGGTGTACATTGTGTATGGATGTGTTAAAAAAGCAGTATGGCGTTTTGAACCTACTTGTATCATTTTTTTAACTCCTCTTAAAGGATTTACATTTTGTGAATCTATATTCAATATAGTATTAAATGAACATGCTTGGTCATAGTTGCAAGCAGAGAGAAGTTGCCTTTGAAACTTCAAAATCCAGTACTCCAATGATAACCAAGATACGGTTTCATGTATGAACGCAATGAGTGCTATTATTCATATTGAGCAACATTTTTAAGGAAGCAATAGTTGTCAGAGAATGAGGCAAAAACCTTAAAAACTTCAGTCTAACCATAATTACTTAAGACCTGCTGATCATTTTGGAATACACTATAGACAAAATATGTATAGAAATGTCTTTATGTAATAATTCTTCCTGTAGCATAAAATTTATATAATTCACCATGGGAATACACCCCTGAGTTTGTTATGTACTTCTTTATGTCAAACATCAAAGAGGAGAGGAAATGAGCAACTTACAGGCAAATATATGATGCCTTATTAAAGATTTAGAAAACCCAGAAACAGAGATGTGTTATCTCATGGAGAGAGAAGTTCTAATCTATAGCCCAGTGACATTATTCATACTAGCAGGCTTTACTTTGATCAATTCCAATTTTTCAGTGAGCTGTCAACAAAAACCATTCATACCAAATAATAGGTATGCTAAAGAAAAGACTCCAAACTGCCTTTGTAATAAAAGCAACTACATTTTTCCTGCAGGTTGTAACAAAGTGGTGAGGCCTATAGAAAAGACCCATGGATACTGAAAGCTTCCTGTTTCAAACACAAACATATATTTTGTGTCCTAAAAAGTTAGTGGCATTAGAATCTAAAGCAAAGAATGTAATTGGTTCTAGTATATCTTTTTTCCATGTTTGCTTATTTTCAAATACTCATTAAACAGCAGGGATATCCACAAATACACTAAATAAATAAGATGAAGAAAAGTTCAAGAATGTCACATTTCAGCAAATAGACAGCCTCAGTTCTCAAATGGCTGCCAGATTCTGATATAACCGAGGCTCAATGCCAAACACCTTCCCTTTATTCTTGCACTTTGCCAACTCTCATAGTTGGTAATCTGCATGACAAGCAATAATGACCCTAGTCACAAGGCCAGGAGTGTTTGCATTGCAGGAACACGCCCAGGTGTAGCTTTTCTTTGCATGCCAGCACAATTGTAACATGTACAAACACACATGTATTGCACTTGGTACAAACTAAGTCCTGTAAAAATAAAAAATGCTTTCAGAGTTAACATGACTCAGATTCATATGGGAAGTATAATAGCAGTGAAAGTTGAGAGTTCAAAAATCACAATGTTTACAATTCAACATGTGCAGAATGGAATGCAAAAGCAGAACTTTTAATGGATAAAGTGAAGGAAGTTGCTATGGGATACCAGATTTCATTAATGGTGGTGGTGGTAGTATAGCTATATTTTTATGATTTTGTGTAATTCTGTAAACCATCTGGTGCATTTGAAAGTCAGTGGCACAGAAATGGCACAAATAAATAAACAGATCTAACTGGTGAAGTCAGAAGGGACAGGATACTATACGAGACTTTTGTATAGTTGCGTGAAAATGTTCTAACCTCCCAGGACAACATTCAAAGGTTAATATCCTTTTACCTCATGAGAAAACCTGGACAAGACATTATGGCTTTACTCTCACATTGAGTTGACTCCAATCCTATGCACACTCATGTGATCATGAAACTCTGTTGAATAGAACAATTCTTCCAGTAGATGTAGAGGTTTACACTATAGATGAGATTAACAGATAGACATGATTGTTTAGGATTCCAAGATTCAAAGCTAGAGAGGATAACTTGTTAAGACTTACTTTTAAATACTATACTGTATAGAACAGAGTATTTTGGCAGATACCTAGGTTGTCAAACTAGAGTGACCGGTTGCACCTGTGGCTACAGGAAATCAATATCTAAGAGCTCATGAGTCCTAATTAAAGACTTAGTTAAACACAAAATCTAATAAAACCTAACATATTTCGGTTAATATAATTATATTATATTCTTAGAATACCATAGACAGCCAAAAAAACAAACTGATGGATCATCGAACAAAATCAACTCAAGAGTTCTCACTTGAAACACAAATTACCAGGTTCAAATTATTCCATTTCAGACACATTATGCAAAGACCTAGTTCTGTGGAAAAGACTCTAATGCTGAGAAAGGTGGAAGGAAAGAGAAAAAGGTGATGACCACCAGCAAGGTGGATGGCTTGAGTTAGAGGGGATAATTCATGATTCACCGCTGGGAGACTTGAAAGAACAGGCTGGGATAGATCCTCATGGGAAAAAAATATATGGAGTCTTCAGGAATTGAAAAAGACTTGATGGCACTCAACCAATCAATCTAATTGAACGGTACTAGACCATTCTATTATAAAAGCAAATGGGCGAAAAAGAAATCTATAAACAAAACCCTTAAAATTACTAAACCTTTCGATTGCCTTTTTTTTCTCATGGGTGCTCACTAACTCGATCAAAAGGGAAGGGCCGGACTGAAAAATGCTGCTGTTGGGTTTGGTGGATCGCAGGATCCACTCAGCCGAGAAACCAGTTGCCGGCTGGTCGAAGCGAAAAGGCTAAAGGCTTTTCAAAGGGGACCCATCCATCCATCCATCTTCCAGTTTGGGCTCTGGGGTCTTACAAATGATCAACAATACAGGTAAAAGGGACTTGATGTTGAACTTGATAACTGCTGCAAGACTACTAGTAGCTCAGTGTTGGAAAACCGAACGTTTGCCCACTATAGAAGAATGGTCACTTAAACTCTCAAATTTAGCAGAAATGGCCAAGATCTCCGCTTATGTGAAGGACTATTCACAAGAAAGATATATCTCGGTTTGGAGAAGATGGATAGATTATATTGAGAGTAAATATGGGACTAAAAAGTTTCATTTGGTTTTTGAGTGAATCTTGGAGTATTAATGTAGTTTATATGTTATAATAGTTTACTTATTTTTATTTCTAATTATTAATATGATGTTATAATTATTGTGTTTAATACTAGTATATGTGTTTAAAAGAGAGTTAAAGGATGTTACAGATTTGTTATTTTAATAGTTGATTAATGTTAGAGTATGATTATTGTATTGTTAACCCTGTGATTGGCTCTGGGAAGTGGGGGGGGAGGGAGGGGGGAGTGGAAGGGTGTGTTTTGGGGAGGGGGGGAATTATATTGTAAAACTTTTATAAAATTTTTAACAAAAAAAACCAAAAAACAATACAGGTAAAAGACTTCTCGTGGAAATGGCAGTTTGCTCACAAGTTCCAGAAGCGCCGCGCTGTTTCATCCAAGAGCTGCCGCGGCTGCAGCAAGGGCGCTCCCTTCTCGCTCGCTGCACCCCCGGGCCTTTCCCCGCGGCGCCTCTCAAAATGGTTCCTCCGCCTCTCGCTCGAGGGAGATGTTCTCGCGGACTCGAGTCCATTTCGTCGTCTGAACAGCCTAACAAACGAGCCCCACAGGCTTCCCTCGTCTTCCTTTCAATACGATCTTCCTCCTCGCTAGTTATAGCGCCGATCCACTGATAACATTCGGCCCCGACACGGCCAGGGGTCAGACGCCTGCACAGAATCCGCCTAAAACTGCGCTGCCTTAATGGTAGCCAAGGCGTGCAATCCTAACAAATGGCTTGTGGTTAAATTAAGGCTTTTGCAGGACATTCCTCTTCGTGGGCTTTATTTTTTTCCCTCGTCTCCTTAGGAAAATTGAGAATTGCATCAAATCAGAACTATACTCGCTTAAATGACAACGGGTTGACTCTAAGCGCAACTAAACTTTTACTTCTGTTTTAATTCGTAAGTTACGTATTTCCTTAACCTGGAAATTAGCTGACCAAACGGGGATAGCTTAAGCAAAAAGCATCCATATTGGGCTTTTAAATTGGGAGATATGAGAAAAACTAATACTAGAAATATGGACTTAAAAAACCTCTCCAGGTCACTGCCTCTTTGCTGCCCTCTAGTGGCCGCCAGATTTTTTTATGGTTTCGATCGTTCGCTTTCGCTCAGCCCCACCCCGTTTATTTGCATCGGCACGCCCTTCTCGTTCGGTTGGATTAGTACCTAGGAGTCGTCGCTTCCACTGTAGGTCGCAGGACCTGGGAGTAGGCGGAACATTAAGTCGGAGACAGCCAATCCGCGATAGAGGAGCCTGAAAGCTGTGCTTGGTCCGCCTATCTCAGGGGTAGGCAACCTCGGCTCTTTTATGACTCGTGGACTTCAACTCCCAGAATTCCTGAGCCAGCTTGGCTGGCTCAGGAATTCTGGGAGTTGAAGTCCACGAGTCATAAAAGAGCCGAGGTTGCCTACCCCTGGCCTATCTACGACAGAGCCTGTATGGCGATCCAGCAGTGACGTAGTTCAGGAATCGGGCTCATGATACTGTAGGCAGCGCTGGAAGAAACAGTGCAGCCAATAGGAGAGTTGTGCGCATGCGTTCCGGGGCATCGTGACTGTTTGATAGCGATCGGGAAAGGTTCGGTCGTGGATTCCGGAAATCGAGATATTTTCCTGCGAAGCTTCTGCTGCTGCAATAAACGTGTTGGTCCTTATGTTCCAGAAGGTTCCGTCTTTTTCACTTATTAAATCTGGCTTTGGTGCATATGCAGAGGATCTCTTCTTGTTTTCGCTGCTGATTAGGTCTCGCAGCCATGAGCAACTGTGACTAGTGTGTTATTAATGCAGCTCTGGTCATTTGCACATCGGCTTTGTTTCCAAACACCGATGGGAGCTGTTTTTCAATAATATCTGCCAGCGCGCCCTTAATCCCGCCTCGGACTTGACAGCAAAAACCATACCTGTAACTTTTTAAGTTTAGCTTTCCTGCAAAGATTTTTATCCTTTTCTGTTTGTCTGTAATCAATCACTGCCAGATTAAAAAGGACAGTTGAATTAATCCAATGAGTTAGTGTAGAGTTTTATCAGTGTATCATATAAATTAAAAATCAGTTTTGATCTACAAATGGCTTTTATTAAAAAGAATTTGTAGTATGACAGTTGGGACCTACATATATATTGATGAGAGAATCCAACTACTATGTGCTGAAGGAGGCTGGCCTCTAGGAAGTCAATTTGGGGAAGACAGAACAACCCTTAAATGAGTATTTAAACGATGGGGAAGCTAAAAGCAAGGAGCTATTACTAATAAGTCTACTTCCAACTATATTAGTAATGGCCCCCAGAGAAAGTCCTGATGTGCAGCCTCTATGGATGGTATATCGGAGAAAGCAGTCCGATGTAGATTTAAATCATGTGGTTTAAATTAAATCAGTGATTTAAAACACATACGATCTTAAAGATTCAAAATGGGTAGGCTTTAAGGAATGGGATTTGGAATTATTCTTGAAAAAGTAATGGCAGCAGTGAAGTTATATAAATACAATAAGGGATATGATCTTTTTTCAATATTGTGCTAAAAGATTTGAGACTAGCTGGGATTTTTTGAGCTCTTTTTGGCTAACTTGTTCTACTATTGTGTTTATCGTACTAATGTCTACTATTTTTCAGATTAAAGCATTCACTTAATTTTACGCAGTACTCTTTCAATGGCACATATCAGTATCAACCAATATTTGCAGCAGGTAATTCATAAGTATAATTTGAAGAAAAATCATCTGTTATTAATCATTCATTTTGGTATATTTTGAAAAATTCTTCTAACTTGGCTAGAACTCTTCCAATCCTGATAATGCTCTATGGAATGTACATGAAATAGTAGAAGCATTTCGCCTTCAATAATTGCATGAGATTATCTGTTAAAAGTAATATTTTAATAGACTAAATTTCATGAAGGGTTAATAGTGATCCTTGCCCACTCTTCTGTTACTTTTAAACATGACTTTAACAAACAGTTAAAAGCATTTCAAACTCATTTTTAGTTTAAGTTACCCTTAAACTGTCTACAAAAAATAGTACTCATACTTGTGTGCTTTAATTTTTCTGTATTTCTATATTTCTGATACATCAATATCATTTATTATGTACTTTTATTTTACAAAGTGAATCAGCCCTTAAGCAGATAATCTAAGGAATTTGAATTTCCATTCAGTTATTACATAGCCACCTATTCTGCTATTAGACTTATCCTCATCTTAGAAACACTTGAGTGGGCAACGTACACATAAATACAATCAATCTCAAAAAATATGTTTTTAATTATTGTACTGATTCAGGCAGGAGGTGTAGCTCTCTGACTCTGAAAGTTTCATTTATATGGGTGACATTTTGAATTCATTTTTCATTAGAAAGAATCAAATGAAATAGTTCACTTTAAATTAGTCATATCTTTTCTTTATTTCATTGCTATTTTTGCTATTTTTAGTTAAAAAAATGAGACTTGTACCAAGGCTATGATTCTGAGAGGTTTCTCCATAGTATAAAAAGTGCATGGACAATATGTGATTTCCAGATGTTCATGGACTCCAGTTCCAATTATGAGTGGTGAGAACTGTATTCAGCAGTATCTGGAAAGTCACATGTTACTCCCTACTGCTGGGCATTATGGTGGTCATAGTCAAAACTACCAAGAGTTAATAAAGTTTTCTTATTGGTCCTCTAAACTAATACTAAATTTATATTGTTTTCTTTCACAGGTACTAGAATCTATTGATGGCAGAGATGGATTGTTTTGTGCAGAATTAGTGTCATTTAAACATCCTCATGTTGCAAATCCGAGACTGCAGGTAACACATTTGGACTGAAATCCTGTAAATGTATTGAAGTCCTGTTGAATTCAATAAAGAAACATTACCTATTTATTCCTAAATAGAAATGTATAGGATTGTTAGATAGCCATAATCAGAGCCATGGAAAATACTTTAAAATACATCTTTGAACTGTTGATTTGCTGTGGATTCCATGCCTAAAAGGTATTGCAATGTTTGCTTATGTTTTTAATGACGAGGTATCTACAATAACTTACTCAATGTAAAAGGTCTATTCAACAATCTTCCTACAGAACTGTTTTGACATCTTTTAAAGAAAAGGCTGGATATCAACCTCTGAAAGAAGGTTTAACTTATTTTTCTATACATTGCAAAGGATCGGAATAAATAATCTTTGTGGTTCCTTCTAAATCCAGAATTCTGTGATTCTAAAATCAGTATATTGTACAGTGTTTTTAATCACCAGCTTCTAGATTAAATGTTGCCTCATGAAAGGATTTGGTTTAGCATGCATCATTGTATGTTAAGCTTTTGAAACCCCATAATTGCCTTCTGAGGCTCATTTCTTTCTTTGTTTGAGTTGCATGTATGATTTATCCTTGTTATAAAATGTGAACCTTAGTCACTCTTGAATCTGATTCCAATGACAGTGACATATTCCTCCCATGCTGTATATCATTGACTGAAAGAATAATGACGTAAATATCTTCAGGACTTGTTAAAAATGGAATTTGGCCAGGCAGTTTACTTATAAAATTATTTCTGTTATTTGTTCTGTTATATTAGAAAAAAAGACATAGGCAGTTAAGTTGTACTTCTTCAGCTTCATGGTTTTTGTCAAACTATTTTGTGGCCAACAAGGCCTTATTTTCCTCTCTGGTCTCTATTTTATTTTATAACTAGCTTTCATCTCCAGAAGAAAAATGTCAACAAGTGTTGGAACCACCTTATGATGAGATGTTTGCTGCTCATTTAAGGTAAAATTGGGTGGGATAAGATGCCCCCTGGAGCACAGTGCACTTACCTTCAAGTATTCCAAGTAGTCACAAATGGAACCTTGCACTAAAAAAATGATATCTTAGCAATTATTCTGAAAGTGTAGAAATGGCTGAAATGGTGTAAAAGAATAGTTATTTTTTTAAAACCCAGTTATTCCATAAAAACAAATATTTGGATAGATTTTTACCTGAAAAGTTTTAAAGTAGAAAAATAAAACATTCTAAATATATCAGAAGTAAGCATTCTACTCAAGTACCCTTTTTAGCAAATGAAATTAGGTATCATTTGTTGCCCGTTAAGAAGTCTGATATTTAAGTTGCAAGACAAATATACTAAGAAGCAAGAATCATGAAATACAGTTGGATTTACTAATAAAAATGGTTAAGATTTATTAAATTGAAGTAAAGAGAATATAACCTAAGTTAATTTTGGTTATTAAAATTCATGTTTCATTTTTCTTAATAGATGTACTTACGCAGTTGCCAACCATGACTTTGTAGAAGCGTATAAATGCCAAACAGTTGTGGTACAATATCCTTTACCATTCACTCTTCCAAAAACTTGCAATGGAATTTGGAGTTAAGCTTTCAGCACAAACTACAGAATTACCAGTGTTGGGTTAAGGACCACGTAAATGTACGATCTACTACTTAGACTCAGGGTCTATCTATACTATAGGGTCAGCTATACTGTTGGATGTAAATACTTAAAGAATCCTGATTTTGTTAGATTGCTGGACAATCTAATGGGGGGCTGATTATATAAAACACACCCAATGTAAAGAATCTTCATGCCTGGCTTTTATAATCAATGGGTTTGCATTTCTAGATAAGGAGGATGTTAACATTTGGTAATTAGCAGCATGGTGTAATAATAGTTGTTGTCTCTTCTGATCAGAATGTGACTGGCTTCTGTCATCTATGTCCTTTGAACGTTCATATTAAACCATGGACATTATTCTTACCTTTTTATATCAGTGTTAAGCTGTGGGTTCACACTTAAAGTTGTGTCACTAAATTGCATGATGTTTTTTATGAATCAAATTTCATCAAATTTTCCTATACTCTTTACATCTTTCCTGAGAGCTTTTCAAGCACACAAAGAAGAAAACTGGTAAGTACCTGGTTAACATAAATCTATATCTCAAAATATAAATGAATTGGCCTGATGAGAAATATTCCATTTTACGTAGGTAAGAGGAAGACAGGGGATAACCCATTTTAATATCTCAAATATTTCTCAACTTTGAAGATAAACAGAAGTAAAGTGATCTTTTAGTGGACCAAAAGTAGTAGTTTGTCATACATAGAAAATGGCATGGAGATTGAAGAAAGATATAAAGACAACTAAATCAACATTTGATTTTATTTGCATTAAGCTAGCCTTTTTCTATAATTTTCAGCCATTTGACTATCCTAACAATAGCCCATGGAAGAATTTGAAATAGCCATGAAATCTCTCAATGCCTCATTTGTCCTGGGTAAATGTGGGCTTGGATGTTGGTATGCTTTTTCTATACCCTGAATATTTGGGGAAATTAAAGGAACTCATTAGAAACTGTAGAATTTCATTGTCCGTGTTACAATAATAAATACAAAAGATGTTTTGTTGCTGTGTTTAAAAGTAAGCAGCAGATCATTTTTCAGTGTTTGCAAGATTAACCCTGGGTTGAATTCTCATTTGCCAGGGCTTTGCCTATTATGTATGCAGTGGCACTTGATCTTCGAATTTTTGCCAACAGTGTAAGTATTGCTGCTTGGGCCAAAATTATAGATGCTGAAGGAATGGAAGAGTTTGGGATGGACTGAATAACAAATGGAGATGCTCTGGGCTTGGCCTGAAACATGCTCAAGAATACACAAAGATATTTGCTCACTTGTGTATACACTATACATTCTGGGTGATTGTATCTCACTATTGTGTCATGATAGGCTGATCAACAATTGGCAAAGAAAGGCAAAGGCAAAGTTGGTGACATGTTGGAAAAAGCAGCTGAACTTCTTATGAGCTGTTTCCGTGTGTGTGCAAGCGACACGTGAGTATATCCTTAGTCCTAGGTTAAATTATTTGGAAACGTAGACTATGTTTTTTTTTACTTTGTAAATTGGTCTGTAGGCTTGTTATATGCCAATCTTCCTTGGCGTGAAATTGCCCATAAGTTGAATTTGGAATTCTTTCAGAGCTTTATTGTGGCAAATCATTAACTGTACTTATCCAAAGCAGAAGTTATTTTTCTTAAGACACTCTTAAGATCTGAATTTGTTGGGTTGAAAATTAATGTAAATATTAATTTATCAATAAATGTCACAATTGAAACAGGCCTTCATAACATTTATATTATTTATTATGATTTTACTTATTAAATTTTTATGTGGCCCATCTCCCCTATAAGGCGATTCTTATATATGCCACTTTAGATTTGATGAGCTCTGTAGAATGTTTCTGGATATGTGCAAAGAGGATTATAATGATTACAGACCTTGGTTATGATTTTGGTATGCAAAAACACTTGTTTAGGAATGTAACTCAAAGCCTAATATGTGTGTTTAAGGACAAAATTTTAATTTTGATCATTTTTATAATATTTGTTACAGTCGAGCCAGCATTGAGGATTCAAAAAAGTGGGGCATGTTATTTCTGGTGAATCAATTATTTAAAATATATTTTAAGGTATGACATGAACCTTGAAAATCTTATCATGAATTCTTTCTTTTTAACTCAAGATTATTGTCAACATGTAGCTTCCCCTTTGCTAATATTGTTGTTCTTTCCAGATCAATAAACTTCACCTGTGTAAACCATTGATAAGAGCAATTGATAGCTCAAACCTTAAGGATGAATATAGCATGGCACAAAGAGTCACATACAGATACTATGTTGGAAGGAAGGCCATGTTTGATAGTGATTTTAAACAAGGTATTTATCATATTATAACATGTTTTTTGCTAAGAGATTTTGCAGATTGATACGTTTAAAAAGTTGGTTTGATATGTCTGATCCCAGTATCTTAAAGATACCACAGGTTACAGATCTGTGACTGAATAAACTCATCTTAATTCATTGTAAATACACATTATTGAAATAGATAAATTGCTAATTTCATAAAACTCTGGGTGGGAGAACAGTTCTATTAAACTTGAATATTTGTACAAATGATTCTTGAGAATAATCATGATCTTTCTATTGTATGCTGGTTGAGGAATTCTGGGAATTGAAGTCCACCCATCTTAAAATGGCCAATGTTGAGATACATTGCTTTTAATATATATAATGTATACTGAAATCTCAGCTGATTTAATTTTGCCTTGATATGGCATAAAAAACATACACTTTGGACAATCATTTGTCTGAAATGGATTAGGATTTTCTGCCTGAGCAAGACTAGAAGACCTCCAAGGTCCCTTCCAATTGTTATTCTGTTATTCTGAAGAGCTAAATTTTACATTGTAGTAGGATATCTGCAATCTTCCGGACGACTGGCTATGGAGCCACATTTGGAAAGATTGCTAAAAAAAATGTATCGTCACCCAGTACTTGCTCATGGTCTGTGCTGATGACTTTCTCCTCTTTGTCTTCTTGCAGCTGAAGAGTATCTGTCTTTTGCCTTTGAGCACTGTCACCGGTCCAGTCAGAAAAACAAAAGAATGATATTGATTTATTTGCTGCCAGTGAAAATGTTACTGGTAAGTGGCATTTGAACTTACTAGTCTTCCAGAAAAGATTCCGAACTTTTGATGAATAGTGAAAGAATTTGGAATTATGAGAAGGTCCTGGACATTCTCACAAATTATCTGATGACCTGCCCCTTTCATCCACTCTAATTTCTATTCAGGATTTGTCTTTTTTTTGAGCCATGTCCTACAGCCTTCCCACATGGGGAATGGGGAATGCGTTTCTGCAAAGCCTGGGCTGGCAGCTGTCCATTTTTTAAAAAGAAAGACTAGAGCTCTGTTTGGAGTTCATTCAGTGTAATGGAAGAAGCTGGCACTTTGATTTGTAGCATGCTGGGTTTCTATTTTTATTCTTGCCAACCTAATGAACTGTTGGAAAGAAATTATATAAAGAGCTCAGGACTGTTTCTGTTGTCTATTTGTTTGGCAGCAGGATGACTCTATAAAAATTAAACAGAATGAGACAAATCTGGAAGTCAACAGAAAGATAGTGGGCCAGATCTGCCTTTGGAACTGTAGAAAAAAAATTCCCCATGTGGGAAGGCTGTAGGACATGGCTCAGAATGCTACCTACTCCACTTCTCTGAGCCCACTTCCCTCTCCCTTCATGATCATGTGATCCAGAGTTGAGTATATGTAGCCAACATATACACAAACACAGATATAGTTTAAGGATAGAGCAAAAATACAATTGCAACTTGTTAATTCATTACCCAAACAAAAGTACAGATGGTTCCTAAGGCTCCTTCTGGCAAAGGGTTGTAAAGAATTCCTGAAGTCACACATTCTTTCCCTACCTTGTTTAAATGAAAATGAATGTTAACCTTAAAATTATGAGAATATGTATCTTGATAGATATCAAGTTGGATATCAGCAGAGTGCCACATTAGAATCTCTGGTCTTAAAATATGTTCTGGTACTTATTAAAGAACTGGGGAATGAGCCCTTTGTTAGCCAGAGATTTATGGAGTTGCCCATCATAAGTAAAAGTTTACGGAAGGCATGTAAGATTTGGGACCCATTAAGCATATAAATTTGTTAGCTGTGTACTTGTTAATCTTTTTGTGTTTTGTAACTCTAGTTAGTCAGGAAAAACTTGAAGCTGGATTGAGCACATAGTATGCCATCAGATGTGGTTTGAGAATGACAACCTGGATTCCAGAGAGCTGGAATCATTAATGAAATTCCAGAACTGCTTAGTTGGAACTCCTGTTGCAAGCACTTAGGAATAAACTGTAGTTTAAATTTCAGAACACAGGAAGAAGAGAAAGAATAGGTTCTTTGATATCTTTTGCTAAATGCAAAACTCCCAATTCCAAATCCAAGGTAGTATGACTGCTTTCAGTAGATTCTTTCTGCTAGAATCAGAATTGGTCTTTCAAATTGGGCTTTCTGTTCAAAAATGGCATTCCGACTAGGAATAATATGTAATGGAAATGGGCTGTAGGACATTTTAGAGATATGACTTTGGTCCCCATATGATATGACCCAGTTTGGAATCCGACAAATGCTGGATATTATTTGGGGTAAGACACAGTCAAAAACAGTCTCTGTAGTGCTAGGAGATTGGCTGTGGTGGTAGAACAACTCATGACCATTTATAGCTTTAGAAAAAAACTAATTATTGGGGTTTCTAATTTTTAGCATTGATTTTAAAATTATACTTGGATTTTCAGGGGCATATGCCAATGGTCCAGCTTTTAAAAAAATATGACCTCATGCAGTTTGCAGAAGTTACAAAAGCTGTGAGGTAAGTTTCATTTATGGAATTGCATACTTATAATCCTATTAGTGTAATAAGACTGCAAACTATATTTGTCTTACAATGTAACAAACTGCTTTATGTTAAAAAAAAATCGAGAAAAAACCACAGATTTTTTCTCTACTTCCTCTTCTTAGTCCCTAATTTCATACAAGTGTAATGAAATAATGAGAATTGTAAAGCAAATTAAACCAACATTCTTCTTTCCCCAGGATATAAATGAAACATCCCAACTATAACCACATATGAGTTGTAACTCTGCCTGCTTTGTACCAATGCCCTACCATCTTTTGCAAAATAGATCCCAGAATCCAAAAAGTTGCCAATCCATTTGCTTAATATTGGTATCTCTAAATATTGGTTTAGTGTGGTGTGCACAAGCAGAAACATCTCAGGCAAAATCTTGGTTTGTGGACTTTCTCCTTGTTTCTTTCCTCCATGGAACTAGAAGGAAGAACAAAGTAAAATTCTGTTTTACTTTGACTAGACCTCTTCTTTCATATAAACTGGAGTGTTAATTTACTGATTTGGTCTGAATTTTGTAAACTGGTTGTTAATTTATTTCTGGGCTTCTTTCTGAAGAATATCATGCTGGTTGCTGGTGCTAAGTTAATGTACTCTCTCTGGGCAATTGGATGGTGTATCTGTTGTATCTCTTCTTGTAGCAGGATAGTTGCTTGCAATGGGAAGATATTAGTAGTGTGTAGTAAGATGCTTTCACTAGATTGTGAAAGAGCTTTCAGGGTCTTTATAGTTTAATGTAGGGTGGGAAGAAGTAATTATGTTTGGGAATTCAGAGAAAAGAGAAAATGGGAATGGGCCACTACTTATCATTGTTGCATAATGATTGTTGCTTAATTTAGATAACACCTCTGAGTAAGCCAGGAAAATAAACATCGAACAAGTATATAACTCTTGGACTGTTAGATTAGAATTCTCCACATTCTCCTTTAATAACATGTCAGGTTAAAGTGAAACAGAGTTCTAGTTTACTCTTCCTCTTGGCTATGGGGGAGAGGCAAAGATACTGGAAAAGTCAAATAAATTGATGAACTCCTATGAAGCTACTTGTTGCTCATCACTCAGAATGTTGTTATGCATCCCAAGTTATATGTAGATACAGTCACTGTGAATTTTTGGGAATGTTCAAAATCTTGATTTTCTAATTCCTTTAGTGAAGGGAACCTTCTTTTATTAAATGATGCTCTGGCAAAACATGAGACGTTTTTCATTCGCTGTGGTATCTTTCTTATTCTTGAGAAGTTGAAAATCATCACCTACAGAAATCTCTTCAAGAAAGTGTAAGAATTTCATTTATATTGCTTGACATGGCTAAGGTGTCTTTAACTGTATACAGTATGATGTTATAATAGGGAAAAGGCCACATCAACCAGAATTATACTGCTTACTTTTCCTTTACTGTAAGGAATATTTTTTGTTGAATAAAGAGCCTCTGGCTTTTAACCATTTTCCTAAATGGAAATTTCTGCTAGTAATTTTTTTTAATTCGTAGTATGTTTTCCAGAAGCATCTGGAATCTATTGTTTTAAATGTAAGAACCATGCTTTCAATTTTCAGAGACATGCCTGCAATATTTATTTTAAATATCTGGCAAGAGAAAAACTGTCCCTCCATGCTTTAAAAAAAAATAGAGTTCTCTGAAATTAGAATTTCTGATTGTAGTAAAAATTCAGACGAGCCGAGAAAAGTCATAGTCAGGGAATAAAGTGAAGCTTGGTTTATATGAATTTTATATTCTGTTTTGATTAAGCATTTATAGTTATTAATGCAATTAATACTTTTAATGAACTGAGTTATTCTGGAATAACCAGGTTTGCTTATTTGGGTTACTTTTAATCCTAATCTATTAGTAAAATGACAAGATTCTCTTTCATTCCCCAAATAAAGTAATAATGGGACAGTTTGGTTCCAAATATTAGGGACTAACTAGATAACTCATGATCCATTGGGTCATCCTTTCAGATATATTTCCTCACCAAAACAGAGAATGCAAGTCCAGATCTGCCACAGTGCTCCTGTCATCAGCCATGGTCACATGGTCCCCTTTGACTTTCTCCCTGCAAACTTCCCAGGCTTCTCCATTAACTTATGGGAAGCTGTCAGGGAATATTGTAAATGAGGGTCACATAACCATGGCAGCAGAGCAGTGGCACTGAATAGCAGTGCAGCTCTGCTGAAACAGCAAGAATTTTCCAAAATGTCATTCCCATGGGAGTAATGGGTCCTGACATTCTGTAAGTTGGCCCATTTGAGGTACCTTGGTTGAAACAGTTTTGCCCTTTAATGCATCTTTTCTCCCTAAATGAAATTTGGCTGGATCCACTAGACTATATGATAGAATCTACAATAATTTTCTCAGAAAAGTAGATTTGTACATGTTTCCATTCACAGAAATATAAGTAGCCAGAAAGAGGATAGATCTGGAGGTTGAGGCATAGCCTAAATTGGAATTACTGCCAATAATAGCAACTGTGATGGTTTCTTTTTTCTTTCCTTAAGATACTTGTTACTTAAAACTCACCAGCTAGCTCTAGATGCCTTTCTGGTTGCCCTGAAATTCATGAAAGTCACTGATGTCGATATTGATGAAGTCCAGTGCATTTTGGCTAATCTCATTTACATGGTAAGTGTTGGCATTCATAACATGGCATGGATAGACATAACATTTGCTGTTGTTGTAAGCTTGCTGTACTATAACTTTAATGTCTCTGAATCCTACTTATATGCAATGAATGTACTCTGTATATTCATAAGCATAAAAGGACAAATGGTTACTCAATAGGACAATGGAACTGGACAATTTTTTTTCTCAATTACATTTTTCTCCAACATTGTATTAATGGTGTATTAATCACTAGCTTATAGTCAGAGGAACATTGCCAGCTGCCCCAGGTTCTGTATTAGGATGAGAGTACATCAGCCTTTTTCAGCCTTGTGTCTTTGGGCTTCACTGAGGTAACAGATCCCAAAATTCCCAGCCAGCTTAATCAGTGGCCAAATTGGTAGAGAATTCAGAAATTCATAGTTTTGGTATAGCTGGAAGACAACAGATTCAGGGAAAATAGACATTCAAGGTATCAACAGCAGTGATGTGTGGAAAGGATTATATATATCACAATGTTGATTCAAGAAAAGCAATTCCTTTATACCTGCTTGATACCTTTTAGTGCACCTTTCCCAGTCTAGTGCCTTCCAACCATTGCTGAATTTTAATTGCCCAAATTCTTATCTAGCATGGTGAAAGAACATCTCAATTTAACTTTATAAATACATGTGTTTATATTTTAACTTTAACTTTATAAATGCATGTGTTTATATTTGCTAATCTGGAGGATGCCAAATTGATTTAGAACAACAATTCTTAAACTGGAGGTAATTTGGGCATATCTTGGGGAATAATGGACTAATTTGTAATTGCTGGTTTGTGAGTTGAGGATTCAGTTTGGGATTATCATTCTCCTGAGACACTTGTGCAAAACAAGAAAAATCTGTTTTTGGGGGGTGGGGAGGTGGGGTAATGACATTATTCAAGACCAGGAAAAAGAGCATTAATTCAGAATATGTCTTAACACTATTTTGTTTGCAGTGACTTTGTTTCCTACTTGAATATTGATACAAAATAATCTGTTAATCTTATAATCTCACTTACGTTACCTACTCTTACTCATTACCACACATTAGCCATGCGCCCTGTACATGCTTATTCAAATTATCTAGTGCCTAAATCACACAACCTCGCACAAGAGTATGTCCCTGTGTATAATATTGCTCTGTTCTGTAATTAATCTTTCAAAAATGGCATACATAGAAAAAATATACATAGTTAAATAAATATTGAGACCCAAGAGAAATATGTAAATTATTCTAGATTTACCAGGCTGGTGCTTGTGGGTTTTTCTCCCCAAACTAGGGTCATATTAAGGGCTATATCTCACATCAGCATCAGAAGCTTGTGGTCAGCAAGCAAAATCCTTTTCCTCCACTTTCTACTGTATGCTGAACTGAGATGGAGGAATGTTGCTCCTGGACGGGGATTACGATTGGAGAAGCCCTCTTTAAAAGGTGGAACAGTCTTGTATTTAGGACAACGCAATAGAGAACTGGCAAGGACTTGTTGAAGAGATGGCTGCAGCACAGAAGAGAACGAATGGCTCCATTACTTTCTTCCACTCAAAGGAAATGATTATGGTCCCCTCTCTGTAATCTTCAAAACCGCCTTCTGGAAGGCTATTTTCAGAATAGGTACAGAATGAACTATGTATTGTTCCAGCAGAACTTTTTTGTAGATTTTTCTTGATAAAAAATCCCAATTTGAATAAACAGCATTATATTCTGTTGATAACCTCTGGTGAACTCTGTGTTCATAATGTGATGATAATGTTTTCAATTTTAATATTGCTATATTTTTTTAAAAAATGTAATGACCGAATGTGTTATCTTTCAAAGTTTAATTAAATGTAGAAAATGAAAAAATAATAGTAAAAACAGAACCCATTTTTGGATGTTTTACATTTTTAAAATTGTAAATTAAGGGTACTTTCAGTGAGACTGGCTGCTGTGTTGTTAATTTGACTTCAGCATCTATAAGCAATCTAGGGCTCTTATTAAGCATATCTTTAAGTAATTATCTGCAGGGCTCATACAATGAATTTAGTTTACAGTGGTGTAATTTGTAAATTCTTGTTTAGGTCATTGTGCTAGATTTTCTCCTTTGTATTTCTTCATGTTTATATATTAGAACCAGTGATCTCAGAAATGATTCTCCTGAAGAGAATACAAAATTAAATACACATTAATGGGGAAAGATAGTCAAATTTAAAACCAAATCACACAGTCAGAGAAATTAGTACTGGGATTTATACTGGGAACAAATATTGATTCTATCTTTGGATGTTCTATGACACTGGTGGCGAACCTATGGCATGGGTGCCAGAGGTGGCACTCAGAGCCCTCTCTGTGGGCACACGCACCGTCGCCCCAGCCCCACCTCCTCCCATGGCCCCCTCCTCACCAGCAGCCCCCCCCGGAGAGTCGCCCCCGGGCATGGCCCACATGAAGCAGCGCAGCCAAGGACATGGTAGCCGGGAAGCAGGGACAAGACTCCGCCCTTGCGCCCCGTCGTGCGCAAATGATGCTGCGGGGCACAGGTGGAGGGCGTGGCCGCCATGTTGCTGCTGAGCTACCTGGGTGATCTGTGGTGGGCCATGGAGGTGGTGGGCAGCCCAATGGGCACGGCAGAGTGGGGACGGGGGTGGGGGGGCGGGTTTTGGGCACTCAGTCTCTAAAAGGTTCGCCATCCCTGTTCTATGAAATCTTTCCACAGAGGCAAATGAAGTGAATCATTGCTTTGTTCGTGAAAAGCAAAAAGTTTTATTTTCATAGATAGTCATACATAATATTTACAGTAGTGGTTCAAAGCTGAATATGTAATACGCTGAATACTCATTTTCTATATATTTTTTTATTTTTATATTTCATTATCCATTATTCGTTTAAACCACATCATGTATCTTGAGGTCTTGGTAAATATAAATGTTTTCAAATTAACTATTTCTGTTGCCCATGGTTCTAAAACTCCGGTGAGAAACCATGTGCCTTTATAGGGAACAGCAACAAAACTTCCTCCCAGAGGCATCTCTTTTGCTTGCACTTGATTGTAACCACAGAATTCCCTTGTTATCAGATTTCTGTTGAGAATTTGCTTGCAATCATTCTCACTGAGGTAGGAAATAGGCCTCTCTACCAGGCTGGGTGTCAGATGACTTCTGTTTGCATTCCAGCCACTAAGAGTTCCTTCCATTTCTGAAATCAACACGTGCTCTGCAAAATCCCTTTCTGGAATGCATATGGGTAAATGGTTACTGTCACAATCAATTTGGCTGCTAAGCTCAAGCAATGCCAGGTTATTCTCGCCAGTGGTGTTGTCATAGCGGAAGTGTATATTTGACTCTTTCACTGGTATTACTTGATTCAATCCTTGCAACTTCTTGATTCCTGAACAGGTTAAAAAAAATGTATTCATTGGTCATTACAATAGCTTTTCTTTCAACTAGGTTTACATTAAACAAATGAAAAATGCCACCTTGCTATGCTAATTAAGTTGCTAATGTTACGGAATAGAAAACAAATAAGCACAGAGAGGAACGGTGTCTTGAAAATATTTAAATATATACATGGATATAGTTAATCCATATATCTATAAATACATGGATTATGCATCTTTTTGGGGATCTATGGGGTCTGTTCAGTATCTATGATCCTTGTTCAATATAACAAAGATAGCAAAATTTATTCACTTTGCTTGGAAGAGTAGACACTGTCCTGGAGCAAAAAAGGAAATACATGTTGGCTGTAGTCCTGTTTAACTAGGGCTGAAATAAACAATATTAATAATGTAGGTAGCCGAGGCTGGTCCTACCAATTAGTGGGGTGAAACCACTAATTTTATATAGCATCACGGAAAAGGAAGAGGTGGCAGGAGGTTGCACCAATTTTACATAGTGGAATATCTAGGCTGGCAACCTTTGTCACACTTAGAAGGATCTTGTGGTTTGGGGAAAAGGCTGCAGTGACTGGAACAGGGTCTGCAAAAATATCTATAGTCAGATGGCAGCAAACATACTGTAACCCATCATTTCTTGCATGGTGCAATTTGTATGAAAGGAATTGCCACATGGAATAACATAAGGATTATATTCACAATCACACCAGACCACAACTTTTCTACATCACATGACTTTCACTGACATTAGGGAGGAATAAATAAATGGCCACAGATTACCAAATCAGGTGAGATTTTAACATTTATTAAGATCTTGTATGAGAAGACAAAAATCTTAGTAATCTTGTGACATTTCAATATGTTTTTATTTTTTTAGAAAAGTTTCTGAGAGGTTTCTTGGCATCACTGGGGCTACATGATGCATGTGTGCACTGAGGGAATGCAATGTTACTGTTCCTTAACATTTCTTTGTTCTTGTCCAGTTCTTGCTTAAAATAAAAGGTTAAAAAACATGCTTGATTCAAGCTTGATTCATGGTGGTATCATGGATGCACCATGTAATTTTCTTGGCAACACTGAAAAAGCATTTTGCATAACTACCTTGCAAAATGTTCTTGGACTTTCTAGAGTAGCCTGCAGCACTGGGATTTTCTTACAAAGTCTGCCATCCAAATTAATTCATTAATGATGGCTGACAATAACTTGAGATTAGGCAAAGATGGCTGGTTGTTAACAGTTAAGGTGATAGCAGATCTGTCTATTGTCCATCCATCCATCCATCCATCCATCCAAACAGTAGCAAGACAAGTTTGCAGGGTGAGCATTCTGAATTTACTAATACTTTTACTTGATGTATTTGAGTTTCTTTCTTTGAAATTCCCAATACTGAAAGAAACGGTTATTAAGTTACTTACCAACCATAGCACTAACGGGAGACAGCACTGCACATTCAGCTGTAGTCAATACAAAGTTAGTTTTCAGGAGAACACCTCCACAGATCCACTTTCCTTCTGAATTTAACAGCAATACCTTAAAAACAGAGCAGACTAGAGTTTCTCTTGCTCTTTATAGGCAGCTTGCCTATTAAGGTCATAAGTAGTAAGGGGGTCATCACGTGACTGACTTAATTTTATGATTTTTTGTGGCAATTGTGCAAATCATGGTCATTAAGTGAAGCTGCAGTCGTTAAACAAATGCTGTGGTCATTAAGCAAAACCATTTGCTGTTTTTTCTGAAAACTGGAAGTAAACATCTATTTCTGGCAAAACAATTGTAAATTGTCATGACAATGGGACGCTGCAAATGGCTTGCTGAGTACATGAAATACTGCCAAATGACCACCGGGGGGGGCTGACTGTCAAAATTCCAGAACCAGGTCATAAGTATCTTTTGGGGATCTGTCATTACTTTGAATGTTCACTAAGTGACCAATTGTAGGTTGAGGACTACCTGTACATCCACTAGACAGGATATGTTGCTATTTCATTCAAGATTGCTTTATAAGGAAAACTAGCTAGTAGCTGTAATCGTTGTCTTTATGAACTGGGTAGTTGGTAAGTCAATTAACATAGGAGAAAAGCTGTGCAGCTTATAGCAGCTTTGGCCTTTTACTAAAATTTCTTAGTTGGAAAAGGTGCTACCAAACTCCTGATTTTAAGCCAACATTTGGGTTATGCTGAATTATGGCCAGGTGAGATTTAGTAAGGAATATGGGGTAGAAAATCCAGATTAGTGTACTAGCAAAAATTTATGCAAATCACAAATGGATAAGAAGGATTACCCAGCTGTAATTCTCTTAAAAAATGTTTGCTATCGTTTGAGTAGAATTCCAACAATAATACAAGAATTTGATGCTCTCTGATGCCACAAAGTTTTAAACAGTGCACACTACACTTCATCTTAGCCAAAAGGCCAGAATTAGTTCCCTAAAAGGGAGCTCCGGAATGCTCATTACCATGAAATCTGTGAATTATTTGAATATGTTAACCTTTCCCAGCCTAAGGGAAGAATCCTTTAGAGCTAGATATAAGATTAAATATAACACACATGAAATACGTCCATGTGATTCTGAAGAAAAAGAAATTGTTGAGTACATCCCACCTCCTTTATTGCGACTACTATAGACAAGTGTGAAAGTACTATATATACCAGTCCTCAATTTCCAAGAAAATTGTACTGTACTAAATTATTATGTCAAGATGAAATAAGGAGAATTGCCACCTATTGATGGGCAGCAGTAACGATATATCAGTTAACTCCCTAAACTGATTTTAATTTTGTTTTGTAATTTATATTTTAAATTTTATTTTTCTGATCTACAGTCATGATTTGGATTTGACCACCTGTAAGCATTACAAGTCTCCATTTGAGCCCCCAAAGCCAGACCAACTCAGGAGCTCCCCCATCTCTTTGGGTACCTGCCAGGGGAATTCTCTGTCAAGCTTTTCAGCTGCATTGGGTGGACATGAAAGAGGATTTTGTAATTTTCCACAGGCACATTCATCTAGCAATATATTGTAAGAAAAGAAAACAATGTCATTTTTAATAGGTAGATTTCAAAAGCAACTATTTTTGTTAAATTTGATTAAAATAAATGTTTTTAAACAAGAAATTGGGTGTTTGGTTGATGAAAGCAAGCATACTTTAACTATTTTGCTACCATTTGCAATTTGCAGTGCTTTTTTTGTAAAAAAAAAAAAAAAAAAAGGTGCTGAAACTCACACATGTCATGCAACCTGCCTTGCCTACCCTACAAGGTTCCATCCAAAAAAGGTGCCGGAACTCCGTTCTGGGCGTTCTATGACAAAAAAAGCCCTGACAATTTGTATAGTGGAATTAGGTTATTTTCCCCCACAAAATTTTGGTATTCAGTCTAGAGGAGATGGCAAACACCTTCTAAACTTTATTACTTTAAAATGTAGAAATAAATACATTTAAAATAAATCTAGAAAGAATGCAGAGAAGAGCAACAAAGATGATTAGGAGACTGAAAGCTAAAACATGAAGAATGGTTGCAGGAATTGGATATGTCTAGTTTAATAAAAAGAAGGACTAAGTGTGACATGATAGCAGTGCTCTAATATCTAAGGGGCTACCACAAAGAAGAGGTGGTCAAGCTATTCTACAAAGCACCAAAGGCAGGACAAGAAGCAATGAATGGAAACTAATCAAAGAGAGAAGCAACTTAGAACTAAGGAGAAATTTCTTAACAGTGAGAACAATTGATCTGTGAAACAACTTGCCTCCAGAAGTTGTGGGTGCTCCAACACTGGAGCTTTTAAGAAGAGATTGGGCAACCATTTGTCTGAAATGGTATAGGGTTTTCTGCTTGAGCAAGGGGTTGGACTAGAAGATCTCCAAGGTCCCTTCCAACTTTCTGTTATATGTGTTGTTGTTTATTGATAGTTGATTTTTCTGTAGAGCAAAGCTGCAGAAGGATCAAAACTGTTCATCATTTCTTATGATTGGAGACCCAACCTCTAAAGGGAGTGACAGTGAGTTGTGTTTACATTGCCCATTATGTTTACAATGAGCTACATTTTGCATCGATAATCAGGGGGTTATTGTAATACGTAATCTTCTCCCAGTCCTTAATGCAACCTCAGTTACTGACAAATGAACCAGAGATAATTTTAATTCTTTTGCTTAATATTTATACAATATTGACTCCTGGGTTACCTTTAAAAAATTATACATACCTTGTGGAATGCATGATTTACTATCTTCCCCCAATTCATAGCCTTGGGCACATGAACAGCGGTAAAAGTTGAATTCTGGATAGCAGAAATGCTGACACCCTGTGTGGATTTCATGGCGGCACTCGTTTTTAGCTATGGAAAATAAATTGCCGCTTTTAGAAGGCAAACATGAAATGGGAAGTAAAAAATAAAATTATTCTGCAAAAAAACAACAAGAACTTTGTTTCTCTAATATTTGTTCTTTTTTCTGGTGGCTATTATTTTTTTCAATTTATCTCTGAAAATACCATTTGCCAGACTTTATTTCTCTGAGATGTACAGATTCATTGTAGCTCCCATAAATTGTTGGTAAGTGTTTTTGGAATCAAAAGCTGCAGCTGTGTTCTGGAGAATAATGAGTAGCACCCAGATTTAGTCATAGAGAAGATTCACTGAAATCATTGCATAAAGTCCCATTGTTATTTGCCACTCTTCTCGGACTATAGTATGACTAATTTTGGAATGAATCATATGCATAGAGTCAGCTTTAAATTTGGGTAGTAGATTTGAGAAACTAAGAGTGGGGAAAGTCCCACAATGGACTGAAATGGCTGGATTGTATCTAGTTGTGATGACTCATGGTAAAATAATTTTGTACCTGCAGCCAAAACATCCCACATTGCTGTCATTTTCAATGCACCGATTAAGCAGAAGTTCAGTTCCTTTACAGTATGAATAAAGTACAGAGACGGCCGTGTAATTTTCTATGAAGTGTGGCAAGATACAGTGATATATCATTAGATGATGGGCTGTGAGTAATTCTTTTTTAATCATTTTTCCCTTTCAACTTTTACTACCCTCATAAAAATAGATGACCTATTAAAGACTTATTGTACTTTTCATTTAGCAAATGCATGTACACAATGGAAAATCGTATGACTGCTATTGTGTGGGTTTGTCTTCAGTGAGACAATATTGGAAGGAAAAGGTCTGTACTGTAATCAAAAAGGAAAAAAGGGAAAAGAGAAGTGGGAGTTCTTCAACCATGGCAGGACATTTGGGAAGAAGAAGAGAAAGTACTATTTATATTATTTTATTTATTAGGTTTTTAATGCCAATTTTATTATTCAAGGCAACGAACATACATAATACCACTTAAGCATTCTTGTCCTTGTTGCCACCAAAACAATGTGACAGCAGGCTTTTTTCTCCTAAAAATATATTTGGGATGGGGGAAATCTCCTGAAATGCTGCAGAGGAAGGGGAACTGGGCAGAATCAGTTCCCTACTCCTTATCTAGTTAACCTCCAGCAGGTCCCAGTCCTTCTTTTGCAGTAGAGCTCTTCTAGAACCAGACAAATATATCTGCTTGCAAAACAAAAGGATTTAGAGAGAAAAATGTCCATTGTGACCGTATATTGCTTATACATTATTTTATGGCACCAAGTATTGGAAGACAGCAAACTAAATTACTTACAGTACCTTCAGTATTGAACTATTACTAATTTCTCATAAGAAGTAATGGCACACATTCTAGTTGATTAACAAAAATTGGTTTTTACCAAAAGCGCAGTTTACTCCTTCAAAGTCATCTGTACAGCCACATGTGTAGCTGCGAATGGTGTCCCTGCATACACCATTGTGAAGGCAAGGGCTGGAAGAACACCTGATACCACCTGGAAAAAAAACCACCTGCATTTAGAGCTTTCTAACAAGGGAGTTTATATTTTGTTTCTCTTCATATGTTTATCTGTAAGATACTACGCAACTTTTCCAAAAGAATTTCCTAGGCTCAATTTAAATTTTTGAAATCATTTCTTCTATGCTGAGTGCTGTTCACCACTCAGGCATTTACTAGATGAGTTGGAAATCCCCCCCCAAAAAAATAACCTTTCAATCAGCAGGGCCAATTGTAGTCCCAATACATATCGCTGATGGCAACAAAACCCTTTATTTAATTGGCTTCACCCATCATTGGTTCCTGTCATGTGATCCTTGAATGCCAGTAGCCCCTAAAAGACTGAGGATTCCTGATGAAGCAGCAACACATCCCCAAAATACTCTTATGGGGGAAAAAAGAATCATCAATAAAAGTACAACGAAGATCAGATCACAGATATTCTCAAAAGAAACCAATGGGCTCAGGTAAAGGTGGATGGAAATCAACCATATTTGAAAAATAGATCAAATTCTGCTTGCATTATTTCTGTTCTTAGTTTTTATACCAGGTATAAGCAACTTTTGTTAAGGGATGGAACATTTTTTGAAACAAAAAATCTTCATCTTCTAATAATTGCAGGGAGCAATGATTTAGGAATGTCACTTGGGGAGTAGAACTGAAAAAAATCTGTTCTTTTCTACTGTTTTCTGATACTGTTTAGAAATGAAATAAATGTAAGCCTGGTAGAAGCTTTTTGCAATTTTGTTTGTTTGTTTAACAAAAGCCTTAACTTATGGCCATCACTCTTTTTGCATTTTACTGGAATAATTAGGCAGTGTGATCTAAAATAACTATTGACGGCAAAAATGGGGCTGAGACTATCTTTTAGCCTGCAGACCACAGTTTGACCCTCTGCTTTATTCAGAGATCATTTCACCAGGCCAACATGTGGTTTACTTCCAAGTGCAACTAGATAAATTATTTTTATCATGATTAAAATTTAATAAATGTGTACTTTTAGTCCAGGGGTCCCCAACCTGTGGGCTGCAGCCTGGTGGCCAGCAGCCCAAACCCCACTACTGGGACAGGCTGGCCAGTGCATGCACGTGCACACACACACACACACACTCGTGCTAGCACCGCAGCCGTGGGGCGTGAAAACAGGACACTGCGCCGCCGCACTGTGTGAAAACGGGCCAACACCACACCTCAGTGCACGAAAACGGGCTGACGCTGTGCCTCAGGGTGCAGAAACAGGGCATTGTGCACAAGAATGGGGCAGGGCTAGTGAGTATCATGCAAGTGCTAGCCCCGCTCTGTTTATGCCATGCTCATGCTTGCGGCCCTGTGTGTGGGCACCCATGCACACATGCGTAAAATGCTTCCCCCTCCCTTTCCCTCTGGTCTGCCAACCAAGAAAGGTTGGTGACCTCTGTTTTAGTCAGTTCCCTTGTTTTGCCATCAATAAAATCAGCCTGAGTTTCCCTTGTGAAGGAAATTCAGGGTAATTAAAAACATGCATAAATAAGATTATTTTGAAATGCTTCTCAGCTGATTTGAGATTATTCTGCTAATAAGTCCTCTGAAAAAGCTTAGTGTTTTTCTAAAGAAAGATTTGATGTATTTTTCTGGAAAAAAATTAAAGCAGATCAAACAAGAAACAAAAATGATGTATTCCTAGGGATAAATTTATTGTAAAAAAAACATAGCAAACTTAGCGCAGGATGGGCAGACCCATTTAATAGGCAACTGGAGAGCATGATTTATGAAAAAAATTAAAATTTAAAAAAGAATCTTCAAATATTACTATTATTTTTAAAAGAAAACACTGCGTTATGACACTTCTGTGTTTGTTTATTACTGCTGCAAGACTAGCCTGGAACAGTTTGAAAACTCTTTCATATGATATAAAGCAACGAATCTGGATTAATAATACTGACTAGAATTACTTCCTTCCTTCCTTTGTTCCTCCCTGCTAAAGAAGGCTAGGAATAAAAAAGCAAAATTTGCATTAATGGCAGCATCTTCTTTTGGATGTCCTTTAGAATAGTAAATTATACCAGCATAGCTGGTGATTTATAAGATAACATAAACATTGAAAATTCTTCCGTTACAAAATATTTCTAAATTTCTTCTTAGGAACTTACCAAAATAGACACTCCAAAATTCATCCTAGAAAAAAGAAATGTAATTGTTTTCTTGTGCAACTGCAGACATGTAGAACAACTAATTGTAAGAGACATAAGACTGCTGCTCTACACTGCAGTGTAAAGTTTATCAGTCTCTAGCATTTGGTCAACATCTTTCAACTTTCTGAGCCCTATTGCTAAGTAGACATAGATGTGATTATGCCATTCCTTTTTTTTTTTTTTTTTGCAGAGATAGGCTGCAGCAAATCACGAATGTATTATGTATTCTGCTCTGCAGAACACTAACTGTACTGTCTCCCGGCTTTGGGCTCTTCCCCACAGCCAACTTAAAGTACCATCCATCACTCCCCGAACTGACAGAAAAAACATCCACACAAAATATGTTGCTTTCATAAGAACAGTACTGACAAATGGTGCTGCATATTATGGACAGGGATTGATGGATTGCTGTAGGTTTGTTTGCTTCTCTCCCCTTAAATATTTGGTCCAGTTTGGTCTAGCGGTTAAGGACTCAGGCTAGAAACTGGGAGACTATAAGTTCTAGTCCCGCCTTAGGACTAGAAAGCTAGCTGGGAGGCCTTGGGTCAGTCATGCTCTCTCACCACCTTGAATTATTTATAAAACATAGGAAAATATCTAACTTTTAAATATAAAAGATAAAACCTTGGAGTGGAGAAGACATGCTTGCATTAACCTAAAGTAGTCAACAGGTGTCAGGCTGAGTTACTGTATATGGAATGCAAACCTAACACCCTGGTTAAGGGTTCTGCATTTGCACAGAAATGGTTACAATTCCAGAATAAATTGTCTGCAGATATTATAGCTGTGCCATACCTCGATTGGAATGCCATCAAGGGGGCTTGTCTGATAAGGGAATTAACTTGTCTGTATGGGAATAGTTGGTTTTTGAAAATACATACAGTTTCTTCTGTGTTTTCAAAAGCCTCTCTTGCTTCTTCATATGTACACCTTTCCTCAAGGCATTCTCTTTCTAAATCCCCTTGGAGAATTTCCTCAAACAACATAAAAGCAGCACGCCTGGATCTTGTCAGGACTTGATTTGCATCTTCTGTTTTCAGGAACACTTAAGAGAAGGACAAGGGGGAAAAATCAGATTTTTTCCTCCCAAAGGACCTAATCCATCCCCATCTCAGCTCAGCCTCTTAAGTATGGAAAGGATCCAAAACAGCCCCATGCCTTTGTGCCCCACAGCTGGAATAGATTGAAAATATCCTTCCTTGGGAGAGATGACTGATTAGATGATGAATGTTTATCATGAAAGGATGAGAAGTTGCATGGGAGGATTATTTATCTCATAGTTTGCATCTGCAAACATTAATATGGGAGTTCTGCACAAAATTCTCTTTCAGCAAAGGCAAAATGAATATGTTTGGTGCTGGATTAAAATGGTAAATTGGATGTGATAGCAACAATTTTGGCCTCCGCCTATGTGCTATATACACATAAAACTGAATGGGGATGGGAAGGCTCTCATTTTTGTTACTAAATATGTCTCTAAGTACGAGAAGCTAAGCCCTGCTATTTTTGTTTCAATGCTTCATATGAAAACAAATCTGCAGGCTTTATTTTCCAAGCATATCTCCCTGGAACTGGTAGAATACCTATAGCAATAGAGGAGATAAGACAGAGAAGAACAAAATATTCAGTTTCCTTCCTTCCTTCTTTCTTTCTGGTAAAAAGAAAAAATGCCACTTAGTTTTGCAACTGAGGCTGCTGTCTCAGCTTACCCTTAACTAGGCAGTAAGTCTGACAGCACTCAACAGAACAATTTCTAAGTATCATGCATAGGATTGCATTCCCACTTTATTATTAAGGGGTAAATGGCATGACTCATTTCTGGATGCCAGTACTAATCTAAAGGTTCCTTCTTCTGATTTATTTTTCCTTCCTGTGCAATAACAAACATTATTTGGAGATTAACTCTTAAAGATATAGAATAGTAAGAGGTTAGTATATACTTTCCTTGTGCTCTTGTTTCTTTTTTTTGAAAAGTAACAGTTAATACTACATGAATAAAACTTCCTACCTGTTAGGTCTACGGAGTGAGTAATAAATGCAAATAAGAAAAAGCATATTATCCATTTGCGAATTCCCATTTTGGTTCCCTAGGCGTAGTTTGCTGAATTTTGTCTGCTTAACTGTGGTCCTTTGATGAAGACACAGAATGAGCAAAGTTTAAAGTGCAACTTTGGAAGCCGATTTCAAAAAAAGAGGTAGCGCAATGACAATGCAGAGTGTCAACAACTAGAGATTTTGCTTAAAAGAAAAAGAAACCTGTGGCATTTATATTACGTTTTATCTGATGAACTAATATGTGTTTTCAAACTGCACATGTGGATAAATGTCCTTCTGACTTTGCTCTTCAATATAAATAGTGTATTGTAAGCCTCAACAGGTGGGCAGAAGATGCAGCTCAGAGCAGCTGCTCAGAGTCTTATCCATATGGAGGGACAAGCTACTAGGGATATTTTGCTAAGCATTAAGCACAGAGACAAACGTCATCGATGGCAAAGTCCTAAGGTTCACAGGCAGAGTGTTCTCCACATTGCTCTTAGCTAGGCAAGCAGGTAACACGATGCTTATGACCACTGTTGAATGGTGGGGTACTGTCATACTTAAAACAATTCTTATCCTAATGTCCTTCACAAGGACCAATTGTACTTGTATTTATGACAAAGGTGAAAATTTTAAACTCCTAAAATGAAAGATGGTATTTAGGAATAATAAACACGTAATTCAGGTCCCAATGGCACTTCTAGTTTCCAGTTGTCTCTTGTTCACTACCCTTCGCTGTTTCTCTTTGGAGATCTTTGTAAAGAGTTTAACTGGAATGTTTGCTGTGACCTTACAGTGTCACTTGTCTTGCAATCCTACATAAATCTGTGAATAGGTATTATCATGTCTTTTGACAGTAAGCAAACATATAGCTTTTTGTCCAGGTCTTCAAGAAAATCAGCACATGTGGACTGTGGACTGTGCAGTTTGTTTTGTAGGGCTATAAACAAAATTTCTAACAAACCATTTGTCTGTGATGGTCAGGGATTCATAAACAGGGTCAAGACATTGATCTACAAAATCTCCAAATACTCTAAATGATTCTTCTAACTAAAACCTTCTACTCATAGATGAATCACTCTAACTATTCCCTTATTTTCTTATCTTCTCTTACCTGTTTAAACTCTAACTTCTGCTCAAGAAATGGGGCACTGTTTCCCCAAAGGAACAGTTTCTTTTAGTCTAATTACTTTACAAGGGCAATGCTGATCCCAATCTTCATAGCACAGTTGCAGCCACATTCCAGTTAAACTCTTTACAAAGGTCTCCAAAGAGAAACAGCAAAGGGTAGTGAACAAGAGACATTTAAGAGGAAACTGGAAACCAGAAGTGCCACTGGGACCTGGCTAGATTGTTGTCAGGCTCATGAAATTTGGTCATAAATGCATGCACTAGTTAGAAAATATTTTTATTACTGTTATATTTGTGAATGGTTGCTAACCCAGATAGTTGCTAAAAAGCTTATTTAATTCTTGGGATAACCACACAGTGGTTGTAAAACCAGAAGTATGTGCAATCCTGTAAATAAGCGCACAAATCAAATTGGGGCAAATGTCTAAGTCATTTTAAGGATTTACGTTTTCAGAGATGGTCTGGTACTGAGCACTTGAGGTTCTACAGCTTGGCAGTTTCATGTCACTATTTTATTATCAGAGGTTTCGGTGGTATATGATTGGTACTCGGTTCTATTTTTTTTCCAAATATCTGAACAAGTCAAGCTGCGCATGGTCTGAATCAGTTCTTGACTCCATGCTAGGAAAGGGGAGGCCAATAAATTCAAGTTGACTCCTTAAGAGGATGGAGACTTTCTGTGTGGTGGTTGACTTGTTCTAAGTGGCATTGCAGAAAATGTACTTAGGAGTTCCTTTAGGGTCAGCTTTGTCATTGAAGACTCAAGTTAGTGGGCCATCTCTTCCCAATTGCATCTACTCATCCCATCCACTCTAACAGAAAAGGCATGTTGCAAGCCCATCCACAAAGAAATGTCCCCTGATAGGACCCAGGAGAGGAGCCTTTTCAGTGCAGCACCCGCTCTTTGGAACATCATCCCCTAGAGGTCAGACTTATCCCACCCTTGCTGGCCTTTCAGAAAAGCTTGAAAACATGGCTTTGCCATCTGGCCTGGGGATTTGATCACAAGATGTGAAGCCTGCAAAGTGGTTACATTGTTAGTGAATTAACTGCATTTTCCCACTGGTTATGTTTTCATAGTTTTTGCTATTTTAATGTTTTTATTTTGCTTATGGTTTTTTTTGGTATTGTTTTTGTTTGTTCGTAATCTGTCCAAAGTCACATATGCGAGATGGGTGGTTCTATAAAATGAACAAACAAAGAAATGAAACAAGTGTCCTCTTTGGCTCTGCATATCCTTCAAAGGGAGGGCTTCTTATTATACAGAGCATGCATGAGGCACTTTCTTTGAATCACTGAAAGAACTACCTCTTTTTCCAAGGTCATAAAGCTGCTATCACACTGTTCCTGCCTGCTCCTGTATGCACAGCTGTTTTGCTGGGCAGCCTTTAATAACCAAGTCAAGTTCAAGGTTTTGTTTTCACATTTGAAATATAAACAATTTGGAATAGGATATTGACAGACCATCTTCACTGTTGCAGAGAAAGTCAGTCACTAAGATGAGCACATTGGGCTGTGCATGCAACAAATTGGTGTATGAAGATAATTTTGACTTTCCTTATATTAATCAATATAATCTATGGTAATTATTTCCTATTCACTTTTCTTCATCAAGTATAAGCTGAAAAATACATAAAGTAACATTTTTTTTAAAAAAAAAATCAGACATTCAATGTGTGTTAATGATTGCCAAATTAATCTTTGAACTGTTTGGTGCCTTGGAAGCAAAAGCAGCCATTTACTGTATGTCTAATTCAAATATTTGCACTCAGACTTTTAGAATGAAATCCTCCTAGGAGAGTTCCATATAGCCTAAACAATCAGTATAGATAAATAAATAGTTATAGCTAAAACCTCCCAAGTTCTGGTTAGAAAAAAGCAATTTCAATAGAGTAAGCGCTCAATATCTTTTCATGTTAGTTTTTAATTTAGTATTAAGATAGGGTTATAGTGTTATAGAGACAGGAGATGGCTACACGACAACATCAGTAAGAGAATGTGATCCTAGTTAGGAATGAAAACAGGTTAGAACATGATCAGAGAAACATTTTGTGTGATGCCAAAAGTGTGTTGAAAAAGGGAATAGTTTTATTAGCCTGTTGGAAATATGCATGGAAAATCATTTTGAGTCAGCGGTGCCATGACCTATGTCATATAATTCTTCCCTTCCAAGAACTGTACAGATGTTCGGTGGTAAGTTTTGTCCCAAGCTGACAGCATAATTTTGCTGATAACAACATTGGAAGAATGTTGGACTTCGCTACTGACTCATAAGATAGAAGGTCAACAAGTGAATTTGGTGTTCAGGAGATTATAGCTGAAAGAAAAACAATCCCTCCCTTTTGGGAGAAGGAGAGACCTTGTCTAATATGCCTTGGACATGCAGATGAAGATTGATTTTCTTGTGTCCTTTCATCTTGCACCATTATTTCATTATTAAAGTCCAGAGAAGAAAGCTTAGATTGAAGAGCTCTGAGCTCTGCAAATACTTGCATGAAATTTTGTTGTAAATTTATCCAAGACATCTAAAAAAAAATAAACTTATTTTGCTGTCCTACACTAAAATGTGAATATCTTTTTGTTGAGTCAGATGGCTTGCTGTAATATGCATTTTCATTTTGTTTTTAAAAGATTAAAGCTGAAAGTGGAGCACTAACATTCCCTTCAATTTTTCCATACCACAACCATCTGTCAGGTAACTTGAACTGAAAATAATGACCCTGAAAATCATCTAATGAACTTCCATGGTAGGATACAAGTCTCTATGGTTCTTGGTCTAACTGCTACACTTGTAGCTTCAAAAGAGAATACTGTATTTCATTTACTGGAAATGTAAGGGAACATTATTTTTTGAGTCTGTGATTAAGGTAAACACAGACCGCAATTTTCTTGTTATTCAAGAGTTTGGATTCCAGTCAATATTTATGTGCCTGTAAGCTGTAATATATGGCTTGAATTATTCAAGCTTGGATTAGTGTGCTAGTTAGTAGACCTGGAAAGGGCTCAGCAGAAGCGCCAGGATCAGTGCTGCTTTCCAGCTGATTGGTGCTTCTTCAGGGCTCAGCAGAAGCACCAGGATCAGCACCAAGCTCCATCTGGAGCCTGGCGCTGATCCTGGCACTTCCGCTGAGCCCTGACAGTCGCGAAGAAGCGCTGATCCTGGTGCTTCTGCTGAGCCCTGACAGCCCTGCAGCTCCAGCCATCTCTCGCTCAGGCTTGTGCAGTGCTGTCACCGGTTCAGCTCATTCCCCTCCCCGATTACCACTTTTCTAGGATGGTCGCGTACCACCTGCCAGGTGCCAATGTACCACAGGTGATACCCGTACCACTGGTTGAAAAGCCCTGGGATACAGGAGAGTTGATATAGGCTGATTCTTTTTAGTTTTGCTTAGATTTGAGTTCATGATGTATTTATTAAGAATAGTCTTCCATATTTTTTAATACAGTTGGATCTTTTGGAAATATTTGTAATAAATATGAGAGTGGTTCCAAAGCTGAGTATTTTATTTTATTACTGCATATGGGCATATAAATAAAAGAATCATTCTTCCGGTTCTTTTAAACTGAGCTCCATATTTCATTTATCTGTACATGCTACTTTAGCATTCCATTCTCATTCCCATTGGTTTGTCTCTATTGGTTTGCCTCTTTTGAAATAATAGACAATATAAGAGTTGCCTAATATTGTCTTCCTCTAACAGGGCTCTCCCAATAAATATTTTGGTTTAATTATTAGATATTTGAGAACTCTGTGTTCATTCCTCTATCAGCTGATATGTTTCTATGATTTCAAAATTTAACACCTTTATGCTTACTGAGCTTTTAAATATTCTTCCTCTCTTGCCTTACAATTTAGGAGTGTTAATTTTTGTAGCTGCCATTGACAAGGGATTTCATTTTAAACTTTTAC